TCGGGACGGTCCACATTAATTTCGGTACGGCTTAGATTGTAGTTTCGGGAGGTTCCGGGAGGATGGTGAAAAAGTTAGTCGAGAGCCCTGCCCTGGATCAACCAGTGTTTATGTATTTTCCTTTATTTGTGTGTGTTGCTTTTATGTTTATTTCTGTCTTTTTTTGGTACATAGTCTGTCAAAGAATATATCATAAAGTAGCATTACAAAGTTATGAAGGTTGAATAGAAGAGATACTGCTGATTCTGGAGCAATCTGATGGGACTAGTGGATTCAAAGAAATTCTTACTACTTCTGCATGTAACAACTCATCATGTCTTTGCTCTTTGATTCCAAATTGAATTTTTTTGGGGGGGATAATAGCTGACAGTTATCTGTACAGCCAACCGGCCTCAGATGCTTTGAGAGTTGTGTTGTCACCCTGTCGCAGCGTACTCACCTCCAGATCGAGGAAGAGTCTCCAGCTGTCTTCCCACTGGCGGACCCCATCAAACAGCTCTTGGTGCTCCTCATAATGCTGCTTCAAGCGCTGGATCTCAGCATCATGCAGACTCAAAAGCTCTTCAGTAAAAGTCTCTAAAGAAATAATAGCAAATTAGAGTATTAGATTATTTATTTTCTAAAACAAAAATACTGTATTGAAAGATAAAATGGCTTTAGCATACCGCTAAAATAGGGAGCGAAATCCTGCCGCTGGTCAGTGCTGAAGAAACATTTTTCCCAAAACACAGCGATCTCGGAGCGGATGGCTTCGGTGACGTTGCAGATGTTTAGCAGTTTGAGCTCCTCTAGACGCTGCACCTCTGCTCGTAACTGAGAAAGGAAAAGAAAGTGTTAAAAAGAAGCCAGACTGACCGAGCCTATCCCGGAATGAAGTTAACTAAAAATAAACGAACTAGGCAGTCAAGCTTCTCACCGCTTCCAGGTTCCTCTTCCTGGACGAGACCATGTGATCATTGAAGGCCTCCCTCTCCTCCTGGGGAACCTGCAGTCTGTCCCACAGCCGCTGGACCTTCTCTCGGTTAGCCTCACACTTCGCCTCGTTCTCCACCTTGCTTTCCTCCAGCTGCAGGGTCGACAGGACACACCAAAATGACTGCTTGAACTGTCGCTATGCATCAGTTGATATAAGGTGGGCAACAAATCAAATCAATGTATACAGCCCGATATCATTAATTACACGTGGCCTCAGGGGGATTTACAGTTAGTACAATTCAGATCTGATTAAAACACGATCAAATGACAACATGGACAATCCAGATGACAAGAGCATAATGTGAATGCATGTCAAATAAAGAAACCAGGAGGATGTTCATGACAAGCCTGAGCCAACCTTAACTGTAAGCTTTATTTAAAAAAGAAAGTCAGTTCTTAAATGTGGAGAGGGTGTCTGCCTCCCGAAAACAAATTGGAACCTGGTTCAAGAGAACAAGAGCTGTACAGCTGAAGGCTCTGGCTCCCATTGTACTTACTGAGACATAACCACTAATAACTCTGCCTTCTGGAAACACAATGCTCTGGTGGAGTTAGAGTATGAATCGTTTTTTTTTTTTACATTGCAATGCATTATAAAAAACATCTAGCATCAGCCAACAACACATCCGTCTAATAATAGGACAGATTATATAATTTGTTGAGGAAAGGACTCCCCTTTATCTTAAATGGGGTTGCTTAAAACGTTATCAAATGCAATGCTAGGAAAAACATCTTACCTGACAGACAAGCAGTTTGAGTGAAGAGATGTTGTCTCTTGAAAGGCAAAAGGCGTCCTCGTCCTCGCAGACGACGTCCTTCTCGAAGCTGGTCTCGGGGGTGTGTTCCAACTCTGCCATGTACAGGATGATCTGCCTTTTCAGGTCCGCAAACTCAGCATACCGCTTCGCCTGAAGAGCACAGTCCATTAGTATAGACCCGATTTTTTTGCCCATGGCAAACGTTTCTGTGGTGTTGCTGACCTTTCATTTGTTGTGTAAGCCTGATATGTAGTTTTATATTAAAAAAAAGCACCATCTTATATGTTAAATATAATAATTCAGAAGCATTGAGCATTAGGAGTGTATATACAATTGTGAATCGAGGACAGACTTTGGGGAAATCCAGCCTATGCTATTTGTTTTGTTACTTGTAGGCTTCTGCAGTTCAGTAGGGAATATTATGAAAGATCAAGTTGCAAAAGGAATTCTCCATATTTCCTAAAGTGACGTGACTAGAGAGAAAATGGAGTAGCTGGTATACAGTGTGACACAGATTTTTCTGCTAATATAATAACAATAATGTTGTTTCATGTGAAAACAACCACCAACCCACATGACAACCTAACAGACATTTTAATACTAAAAAAAAAAAAACACACCTCAACTGTAGCAACTTTCTTGGACGTGAGATAATCAGCACTATTTTCCACCATGTATTTTGATTTTATACTACTACTTTTGAAATGCTCTACTACTTTTGAAATGTTGCATAGAGGGAAGGAGGGTTTACATTTGAGTAAACTACTGAGAGCGTGCATTAAATAAATTGCCAAAATTAGGCTTTCATCTAAAATAACTAGACAGGGTGGGTGTAACAAAGCGAGCTCCCACCTTCTCTGTGTTCTGGCTGGCCACGTGCTGGCTGAAGCTCTCCAGTTGTTCCAGTGTGGGGACAGAGTCTGCAGAGAGGCCGTAGAGCTCGGAGCACAGGATGTCACACAGGTCCTGCTCCTGCTCCAGCAGCGCCTTCAGCTGCTGCATGCGCTGAGCCTTCTCCTTCAGCAGAGCCTCCACCTGTGTGCGGATGTTATTCTCCTGCTGCAGCATGCTGATGCCACCCTCCTCCTATCACACAGAAGATAACAACAAGAACACTTTATAGGGGATACTTAAGACATTCAAATCCGTTTTAGCATCAACCAACTCATAACTACTCTACTTATTATTAACAAAAACACAGCTAGTTAGCAGGTCAATCAATCTGGATTGACAGGAAAACCAATAGAAATAGAAATATTTGCTCTGAATGCAGGGCTTGTGTTTTTAGTCACAGTAGATGCTTCTTACCTCGAACGCATTCAGCTGAAGCTCCAGGCAGAGTTTCTCCATGTCTGTCCTGCATGTTTGAATGCTGCTTACAAGTCTTTGTCTCAGAGATTCCTCTTCCTTGACCATCATATCTAGTAAACTCTGCAGGACAAAGAACAGAAAATAAATCATCTTTATGAATAGAGGTGTGAAGATATTGCAATAGTTGCAGTCCAGTAACCAATCATTTGATGTTTTTTTTTTGTCAATACGGGAAGATATACATATTTTATTTATTTCCAATTCCATATATCAATCTAGTTTAGAGTAAAACTGGTCCTTGGTGCCGACACATTTGTATAAAAATGCTTCTTTAATGGTCATAGTTTTAGTTCACACTAAAGTTACCTGCAAATATTCAACTTTTAAAAAAAGATCACATGACTGTCTGTGTCATAACATATTTTCACAAGTTTTTCTTTCACCAGTTTGTTTACTTGAAGCTTCATTGTGTTGCCTCAAGTAAAACATATTTCTGGAAATATTAAGAAATCTGGAGTCTAGAATTCGCAAAAATGTAGATAATACAATTATATATTTCTATATATATAAAAATGTCCCAATCCCCAAAGTACAAGACTTGATCCCATTTTTTTTTTTTTTAAATAATCATACATTCATCATTCTGAATATCAACCTGTGTTATATAATCAAGTAGCAGTTAGGATCTAGTGCAAACTTCAATGTTTTTTTCCTGCACAAAACCGTTCTTTGGTACAGTTATTTCCTCTTGGAAAGATATATTCTGCATATTGTTTATATTTTTTCTGTTCTATATTATCTTTCCTTACTTTGCATTACTTGCTTTTTATTTTCTCATACCAAAACACTATGGCAACGTGCATGGGAGCACCTTGCAACCCCCAAATGTAATCTCTTCTTTGCATACTAACGATCGGATTCCTCGAGTGTAGGATGGCTGGCTCTCTGCAGAAGCCCCCCCACCCACGTATGTCGAAACCTGTTCATTATATCTGATCTCGTTACATTAGCTGACAGAATAAAGCAGCACGTTCACAGACATGCTGATGATGCCTCACCTTAATGTGGTTTTTGACAACATTAGTCCTCTGTAGTCTCTGGTCCTCTGGGATACCGATCTCCTCCCAAATGTCCTTCAGGTGGCACAGTGCTTTATTCAGACAGGACACAGACTCTGCCGCGAGCACCTCGCTACAGGGACGGCAGACAGACAGTGGAAAATATTGTCAACTCGGTTTTGAATACATAGTTCAATGGAACCCGTAGGGAAATTCAAACCGAAGAAAACAGAATTCAGGTTTCTGATCGAGCTAACAGACGTTGGAAATAGTTAAGCTAACGGTTAGCCACCTGCTGTAAATACATTTAGGCAACTTTACGTTTAACACACTGACTCCATGGCGAAAAAAAGTATTAAACCATACCTCTTCCTCATTGTTAAAATCCAATATGTTGTGTTCCAATATCGGTGAAGAGTTAAAAAAAACTAATGTTAGCCGTAAACGTGTCCCAGAGACGAGCGTCGCCTCCCTGCCTGTGTTCTCAGGTTTTCAGCCCGGTCAGTTTGTACACAGTTCAAAATACGCGTTCAGCGGCGTCCTGCTCTCTGATTGGCTCCTTCTGTAGGAGCGCTTGTTGTGTGAAACTCATGCCGGCCCGCTGGGGAATCAGCCGTTATGCTTGAGGCTGACCCGCCCATCCTCGAACAACTTGTGAATAAAACAAACACACCAGGAATGGAGGGTGTGGTGTTTAGCAGAAGTTTGACACTTCATACAATGGTATGAAGTGAGCCCCCGACGGGGGGTCGCGAGATGATTTCAGAATCCTCTTGATGTGACCCCTGAGGTGTTTACATTTAAAAAAAATAATATATATACATTATTATTAATTATTATTATTTTTATTAATAATAATAATAATAATAACGTGTGCATAGACATTTTGTATTATGTAAGCCTGTTTAATAGGTAAGCGGGACGCGTCTATCGTTATTCCAACCCAGTTTAGATTTAACCACGCCCACTTCCGCATTACGCAAGGATCGACGTAGCTCTACGTAGACACGGCACACCCGCGAAATCTGAATCTGACAATGAATCTGACAAGCAAAATACCGTCCTTATAAACGCTGCATAATATCATAGACTGTATGCATAATATACAATATCTTTGTCAATATGACTGACGACCACACTTATGCAGTGCTGAGGTAATGTTAATTCATCATTTAATATTAATTCCTGATGGATATAAGAGGGATACATTAGCAAACATCTGTATATATAGCCTATATATAATGTTTCGTTTTTTTGTTTGTCATGTAACATTGTAACGTTTATTTAATATTTTTAGACTTTAAGATGGTATTAAATGTCATTTTTAATATTAATATATATTAATTATATTTTATAAATTGATAAATGTGTTAGGCATAATATAATTACAAATAGTACATTAAATATGCTAATACTTACACCAGCCTGAGATGATAAAACACCAGGTAAAACATCTGTGTGTATAAATGAAAAATAACAATGTGTCGAGTAGCAGCTATATTTGTGGTGTTAT